AAAAAAATAAAATTGAAATTTATTAGATAATTATTAATTAAAAAATGTGACCACAAATTAAAAAATTAAAATGGATAAATTTGTAAATAAAATTAAAAAATTTTAATCCGTTAGCAGTTTGGTACAAAAAACTACATAAATTAGTTTTTTCAATCCGCTAGCGGTTTGGACTCTAACCGCTATCCGCTAGTTTCAAACTGCTAAATAAAAATTTTACCAAATATTTTATTTATAGCGGTTTCGAAATATATAAATTTACCAAACACTTATATTTAGTGATTTAGGTAAAACTGCTAATCGTTACCCCAAAACCGCTATACCAAACGGGGTCTAAATGCTTATAAACCAAGAAGTGCTAATAATTCTGTCTTCCGCGCAGTTTTTGTTATTGTCACAACTGTCTTGGGTGTTATTATCATCTTCAATATACTTTCTTAACTTTATTATCGTAATAAAGTGAATTTTTTTTTACCTAATATTATATGGAAAGTTGAAAATGATGTTTTAAAAAATTTATCAATTGTTAACTATCTAAATAGTTTAATAATTATCTCTTTTCGCTGAAAGTAATGATTCTAAGTTTGAATCATATAACATGTAAATTAGGTAGGATAAGAAATAAAAAATTGTTGTCTTCTATTATATAACCAAGATAAAAAAAAATTATCAATTAATAAAGGAATATATAAATAAAAGTGTACTAATATTTTAGTATGATATTGTAGCACTTTTAAAGGGGAGAAAATAATCCCCACTCATCTACCACATTGTGTTCATCTCCCTTATGTATATGTTTTTAATCGCAATTAAAAAATTTTAACGAGAAATTAATATTTTCTCATCTTACTCATAAAAAATTTGAGGCAAAACTTTATGTTAAGACTCTAAACTTATTTCAAACTCTGAATTAAATCTCTAAATTTTCATTAAAGCAAATAAATCTTTAAACTTACTAATTTAGACAATTTAACCTTATTATTTTATAGTTGACATAATATTTATTTATGTTTTGCTTACGTAAATAAGGTATTGACATATCATCGCTTATGTGAGGGTATTGAACTTGTCCATGCAAATAAAATACAAACGGATATTAAATTTGTTATAAAGAAAAATGGTTAAATTATCCAAATTACCAAATTTAATAACTTATTTATTTCAATAAAAA